CAAATGGGACAGTGGGGATCAACGTGTTCGTGCGAGCTAAACGGACATCGGTGCATGACTGTATGGTCGCCGGAAGCTGGCCGGCGACGAGCTACGGCGGCGGCGCGTACGGGGCCTCGATGGAAACGGCGCTACGGAGCTCAGGGAGCGCGTGCGCGTGCTCGTTGTGCTCCTGGGGGCACCATGAGCACGGTGCTGTGCTCAGGCGAGCGTGACAGCGGCTATGGAGACGGCCATGAGCTCGTCTACGACGGATAGAATACGGGCGCGGCGGCAAGCTAGCTACCGCGCGCGAGGAAGCTTAACGGAGAGGAGCAGGAGGTGGAGAAGCTCACCGCGCGGCTAAGGAAAGCCTTCGAGAGCTTAGTAGCAGCAGACGGTGGCCGAAGCGGAAGAAGATCGACGGCGGCCGAGGCGGAAGGGGGTGACTCGATCCGCGCGTTGCGGAGCTCCCCGCTCCCGTTCGTGGACGGAGACGAAGCAGACGAAGACGGAGCTGATGGTTCAGCTAGCTCCTAGGCGCCAGGGTCGACGGTGGCCGCGTGGACGAGTCGAGGCATGGCAATGGCGGTGCGGTTGCGAGCGGAGGGAAAGGAGGGCGACGCGAGGGGAAAGGGGAGGGGCCGGCTAGGGTTCCAGGCGCAAGGGGTAGATATAGGCAGGGGGAACGCCGGAGGGCCGTCGGATGGCCGCCACGACGACGGCCGGTGTAGTGGCAGGCATCGGAGCTGCCCACGATCCCCCCTGTGAACAGGGAGGGGGAAGCAGTGCGCTTGGGCCGGCCTGATGGTTAGGTGGGCCAAATGGCCCAGGGGGAGGGGGTTGTCTCATTTAGTTTTTTTTTGTTTAATTACTTTTTATAATTTACCTTTCATTGCTTTAATTAATTTCCACAATACTTTAGTTTAGTTATTAAAATACAAAAGTAGTTTCTAAATTAGTATCACTGTTTATACCTCTGCCACAAAAAGTTTCACTCACAAATAAAATAGTTTAACTTTTTAGAAGTTATAAAAGGCATTTCAATGGTTGTTTAAGCCACTGTTATATTTATTTTGGGACATTTAAACACATTATAGAAGTGTGGTTTCTATACGATAAATATTCAAAGATTATTTGCCACACTTTGAACATTTTATTTTGTATGTTTGAGAAATTTGAAATTTGGACTTTGATTCGAATTTGAAATTTGAACCGGTTTCGATCCAACGTGAGTTTAACAACAGTAATCATGATGATATGGCATCATTAGGAGGGAATTACTGTAGCTTAACTATCCGGGCGTCACACCCGCCAGATCCCCCTCGCCCGCACTACAGTTCGAGCTGGCTGAGTTTTATGAGCACGTCCCCACCGCGCTCCCTTCTAAGGATGGACGCCGTCGGCGAGGACTCCATTGCGTCGTCCCAGCCGCGGGTGCGTCCATGGCGATGTCCCAGGGAACTCGTCGCTAGCCCCCCACCGCCGCTCTCCACCGGAATATGTGGAATTGCTACTCTCCACCGCAGTGCACACAGGTAATCGTCGGATTGACAGCTCCCTTCTCCAAGCCCCCAAGCCACGAAGCTAGCGAGGACAGCGAAGCCCCGTCCCGCTGCACGAGTCACGACGCCCCCGATGTGGGGGTCGGTGGAGCTCCAGCACGCCGCACTCAGCCTTGTTTTCGCCACTGGCCGCCTTGGGTACGGCACAGCCAGCCTCTCCGCTGGCCGCCTCGCCGCCTGCGCAAGAGCCGGGGAGGCTCCGGTAGGTGCCGCACGTACCGGGCTTCACAGCCGCCATGCGCAGACCTGTGGGAGAGAGAGATAGGGAGGAAGGTCAGGGAGTAGATGGGAATGGGGAGAAGGAAGGAGAGACAGGCGAGCGCGGGGCGGCTCACCGGCGCGACCGGCTGCCGAAGTAGGCAGCCAGAGGTGGGAGAGAGAAGCTACAGTGAAATGTGTGTGTAAACTTAGATGACATCCCTTGAGGATGTTAGAGGATCTGGTTCCGGGGACTGGATAGGATCTATAGGATTGTGTTCGGGCCGATTGACTTTTACACCGAACGAGTTTTCTGGTTGACGTGTCTCTCTGCAGTGCTTTGAGACTGGTGCAATTAATCCAGCGGTAGGAAATAATTTCAAGACGAGAGCAAAAAATACGGTCTATTCGGGAGTTATTGATTCCGTAATAAAAAGTTAGGGGGAAACCCCTATCCTTTTTTAAAAGAAAAAATCTAGCGCACCGCTGGTAGGGTCTTAACGCCCCTATGCTCGACGCTATGGTGTTTAGCATAGCCCCGCTAGTGAATGCGTTATGGAAAAAGAGATAAGATTGGGGCAAAGTTTTGAATTAGGATTCATTATGCTGGTTTTCGATAAACGGCCAAACAGTGATTTTGGCCCGCACCGGGTGCACTGGAAGATATCCCTGTCCCTGGCGTCCCAGTACGGCGGCCTTCACGCGGCCTGCATCGGGGTGGGTCGCGCGGAGACACTGCAGAGGGGGCACAGCGCAAACTGAACACTTCACTCCTGTTTTCTCTCCTCCCCGCAGCCCTGAAGCGTTTTCTTCTGCTCCTTCCCACCGCCGCGGGCGACATGGCGAGCAGAGACCGGTGCTAGGGTTTGCGCCGCCGCCGCCGCCACCGCCCACTCCATTCCCCCGCCCCCCTCTCCGTCGACCCCAGCCACTCCCGAGCCCTCCCTCCGTCGGATCGCATCTCCGCCCCAGCCCTCCGCCGCGGGAACCCAGGTCGCGGCCCAAGCTCGCCCCGACGCCCAGTCGCCGCCGAGCTTCGCCCCGAGGTAAAAGTTCCGTTAAATTGCCTGTTGATGTATGTTTGCTGCTTGATTCATGTATGTGTGCGTGTTCTGCTGTTATGTGTGTATGGATGAAACAAGAACAGCATGAGTGGGCGTATAGATTTGCAGAAATTGTTTGTCATACATGGTTGAATTTTTTGGGGGAACCGTAGGCCTCTTATGCCAGACGGAAGGGATGTGTCTTGATGCGCGTACGCCACCAGATGGCTTGGATTGATGCGGTGGTGAGAGTAGTTCCCCAGGCATCCTGACTCCAAGCCGTCTGCTCCTTGTTCACCAGATCAGGACAGTAGACAGTTGGCTCCTGAGCTGCAGTGAGCTTCGGTTTTTTCACCCAAAAGCTTCAGAAGCATTTTAATTTTAAGTAAAAAAAGAAAAAACCTGAGAAGTCCCACTTGTACATGTGGGAATACACTACGGATCCTCAAAATTGCACAAAACAAATATTTCCATCTTTACCATGTGCAAACAAACACAAGGAAGACTAGTGGTTGTATCTGATTTTTTGCACAGCTTGCCGGGATGTATCTTTTTCTAGCAAAACTTGCCATTCCACATAATACTGCAATATTTGTATGTGTATTTGTTAAACTTCTTTCAATGTCTAAAAGATGAAGTTCTCCTCGGACCATTGCAGCTTGGGAGCTATTAGGACTAGGAGTTTCCATGCATTAGTATATATATTTGTGTAGGCTGGATTTGATTTGTACCTTTTAGTAAAGTATTTCTCATCGCTCATATATACAATTTCTCCCGCCTTAGATGTTAAAATAACACCTACATGTGTAAGCATAATGTTGCGCATATAACATGCATGCTTCTAGTTCTAGGAGATGTTACCTTGCCCATGGTATGTTAGTACTATGCCAACATCGTGATGCAGGAAAATATTTGTTTTCCGCGAACACAGAGCTTACCAATTGATATATTATTATAGAGGCGACATATTCTTTCGTTCATGAATATTGTGTAGTATTTTTTGCTCGGGCGTCTCTAAACAATTCCATCTCCATATCTCTTCGTGCTCCAACTGACTCCCAACTCAATTTTCCACTACCTATATTCCACCCTCCCACATTTAATTGATATCCTTTAAATAAAAATGTATTTATATGGTTGTATTTGGTAGCGCTAGTCTAATGGCCATATTTTCGTCTGGTCTATATATGCAAAGCCATTCGCTTCTTGGTTGTTCCTCCACCACATCGCAATGCGTCATCGTATTGCAATTTATCTTGGATTTGTAGTCATCCAGCAATGATGGGCTCACTGTTGCTAACTTGCTACATCTTACCTAGCACACAGAGAATATCCGCGGTTGAATGCCCCACACCATGCTGGTTCTGTTCACAGATGTCAGGTAATTGGACGGAAAGAACTATGCATGCCAGGGTTGCTTAGCTATGGCAACATAGTAATAAACTACACTGACAAGTAAAAGAGAAATGATATCACAAATTTGCATTAATATCAAAGCATTGAAACAATTCTATGTAATTCACACACCTAGGCATATTGTGGATTTTAACAACATATAAGAGCAATCTTTACATGTTAACTAACAACATATTTGGCTGTAAACCCTCTGATCTTTGAAACAGTCGAGCCAAAACCAAACTGCAGACAAGAAACTAAAATTTTAGTTTGACCTGTATTTTATCTTTGTTGCTCAAGCAACAAACAAAATTTTACCCAGAAATAATATAGATACTCCACTGATGAGGATGGTTGTAGACAGAAAGCAGCAATGCTGGTAGCATTTGGATCCTGTCTGAGATGCTCTTACAGTTTCTACGTGAAGTTGGGAAACTGCTGCTATGCTTGTTTCTTAGTCACAGGTGCAAGTACCATAATACATGATATGAGATTACACATTCATCTTTGCACTTTGGCTAACCTTGTTTGCCTACATTATGGTTTTCCATTTTGTGTATGCCTCTTGTCTTCTCTTGGTTACATTTTCCCTACTTTGCCATTATGTTTGTGTATGCCTTTCAATTTTCCTGGTTTATTTGAAGTTAATTCTGTGAATGGACTTGGTGTACTACAAAAAATGGAGCCTGCATAGTCAAATTTGTGTGTCTAAACTGTGCTATGCCCTTGATGATTGGAAGATTACTTGTATGAAGTTGTTTATTACTGTTTGCTTAGTTTGTTCTGATGTTTTCATATAAAGGTACTCAAAGCTCCTAAGATGGCGGATGAGGAACATGCTCAAACCTCTCGGAAGAGGGTTGCAGATAAACAAATCAACAAGGACAATCCTGAGCTTGATGATGACTCACCGGAGCAAGAGGGAGGAACATTTAAGAAAGCTAGTGAGGAAGTGATGGCAACCCGAAAAATTGTAAAGGTTCGGCGCCAGCAGCCGTCGTCAGCTCCTTCTTCCAATCCTTTCTCTGCAATTAAGTTTACCACAAGTGATTCCAGTGTTCAAGCAAGTATTCCTGTCTCAAAACCTCCACCTTCTGATGTCACAACGTCAAATGTAAGGAGCTCAACTGAGAAAGCTGATGAGGTCAGCAATGGAAGTGGGAAAGATGATGTCAAGACTGCAGATTCTAATGAGGTAGCAGAGATTCAAAAGGATGAATCGGGGCTGAATGAATCAAATGCAGAAAACAAGTCAAATGCGCCAATGGAAGCACACTCTTCACTTACTGAAACTGATAAGAAGGCAGGCAGCACAGAGGGTGGAACTGGTGAGGACAAAGTGCTGGTTGGAGAACCCAAGGTAGATAACAGCAAGACATCTGGAATCGAGGGTAAAACAGAAGATGAAGGGGTTAAAGTGAATGAAGGTGGAGATGAAGATAAAAGCAGCAAGGACGGCGCTGAGAAGAAAGATGAATCTGAATCAGGGACCAAGGATGAAGTGAATGAAGGTGGAGATGAAGATAAAAGCAGCAAGGACGGCGCTGAGAAGAAAGATGAATCTGAATCAGGGACCAAGGATGTATCATGTGAGCATAAGAACGCTGATAATAAAGGGCAGTCATCATCACCGACACCTCTCTTCTCTTTTATGAATGTGTCAAGTGGCCATAATGCCTTCACGGGACTGGCTGGGACAGGGTTTTCAGCCTCATCATTTTCCTTTGGCTCAGCTTCTAAAGAAAGCACAAACGCTCCCCTATTTGGGCTAAAGAGTGACGGTTTGTCCTTCCCTTCTTTCAATATGGGTGGTACGAACAACAACGGGAGTTCTGTTCCATCGCTTGTCACTGCAGCAGAAGCACCAAAGAAATTCACCATGCCAGAGGTCCCAGTGGAGACAGGCGAAGAGAACGAGATGGCTGTGTTCACCGCAGACTCCGCAATGTACGAGTACCTCGATGGGGGCTGGAAAGAAAGAGGAAAAGGGGAGCTAAAGCTGAACGTCCCTGTGTCTGGCGGCGAGAGGTCCCGGCTCGTTATGAGGGCCAAGGGTAACTACCGGCTGATCCTGAATGCGAGCCTGTACGACGACATGGCGCTGAAGGACATGGAGAAGAAGGGCGTGACGTTCGCCTGCGTCAACAGCACCGGGGACTCGCCGAGCGGGCTCACCACGTTCGCCCTCAAGTTCAAGGACACTGGCGTCAGGGATGATTTCAAAGCCGCGGTGGAGGCGCACAAGGCGAAGAAGGCCTCGGACGCGATGCCCAAGACGCCCGAGAGCTCCCCCAAGGTGTCTAATGACTGAACGAGACCGTCCTGGTTGCGCGTTTCAATGATGCGTATGCGGGTTGGATGGGGGAGAGGAGCTGACTGACATTCTCCCTGTTCATTCGGAGTCTAAAGTGCACCATTTTCTGTATTCTGTATCCCCATGTCGTGATGCCTTAAGATACATTTTGCATGCACGCGGTTACTTGTTTCCTGCTGCCGTTTTGGAACGGTGGGTCGTCTGTTGAACATTTAATTGTTGAGTCACAGTTTTAGCTTAACCGGAGAGACGAGGGAGACTATTAATTACATCCTGTGGGCACCGATCTGAGCTATATTCAGTAATTAGTAATGTCCGGAAATCAGTCATTCATCAGTGGTGTATGCGTTTAGCTGTGTATTACAGCAGCTTTCTTGCCCGCTAACTGTCGGTTCATTTCCTCACATATCCCTTTTGTCTCACATATCCCTTTTGTAAAAGATGACGGTTTTTCTTGGACTACGACTATTTGGCTCCCGACCTGATCTGCTCTCGCAGTGAACAGTAAATTCAAAAAAATACTATAAAAATTCAAAAGAATCTGATTTTTTTTTGCATTGAAGATGCTTAGGTGTGTGAGGTCCGCTCCAAATTCAACTCATTTGGACATCTGAGTAGCTCTCCGCGAAAAAGGCAAATTTAGGGTATGTGAAACTGTTCATCCATTGTTCTGACCCAATTTGTTTTCTTAAGAGTTACTCATATGTCCAGATGATTTGAAATTTGGAGAAGACCTCACACACCAAATCATCACCCATGCAAAAAAGAAATTCAGATTTTTTGAATTTTTAAGTATTTTCTTTTGAATTTCTCTTAACCGGATGCAGATGAGTCTGGGATCAGAAATGGTGTCGGGGATATCTAGCGACATATGCCAAAGGATGGCTTATCATGGAGGGGGTCAAAAGTACGTCACCGGGCTATGAAAGTGGGAGTGAGCGAGACCGCATACGCCTGCGAATCTTACCCAAGTTCGGGGCTCTCCGTGGAGTTAACGCCCCTAGTCCTGCTCTGCGGGGTCTCCACATGATCACCATGGTCAATAGAGTAGCTACAAGATTGCTCCTTGAGCTGTTCGGCTAGAGGAGGAAGAAGGGCAAGGCTAGCTCTACTCCCCTCTCTTTGTGGGTGTGTATGATCTCTAAGGTTCTGAACCCCTTGCATGGGGAAACCTGGGTGGTTCATATAGGCCTATCTTCCAGGGGTACAATGGTAATCCGGCCGGGTGTACGACCCGGCCGTCAGTGTCTCTGGACGCTGGCTTCTTCGCCGGCTGCTGGGGCCCGCCGCGTGGTGGGTCCCGCCGGCTGCCGTGATCTTGGCCCATAGGTAGGGCCCACCACCTGCTTTATACTGTAGCCTTGCTCCTGATGACGGAGGAACGTGGCTACAGTCCCGCCGCCTCGCGGGCGCTCACTGTAGCCACACCCCGTCTCATCTGGTTAATGGCGCACAGACTCCGAGGGAAGGACAGCCGCCTGCCAAGAGCCGGCCCGCCCTCGTCGCCGCCTGCTTGGGTCTCACCGCCTTCTGGTGGCTCGCGGACAGGTAGGGCCCGCCGCCTGCGGGCCGTACCGACCGCCCGTTGTGGGAGCATGGCTCCTCTGTCGTAGATGATGTCACGGACTGCGTGGCAACAGGGCCGCCCTGGGCCAGGGGTGTCCGCTTGGTACACCTGCACTGTGGCCATGCTCTGCCCTAGATTCGGGGGTGGCAAGCTGTACTGTAGCCACGCCTCGCCTCGTCATGGTAATGGGGTGCAAACTTTGAGGAGATAAGGGACCGCCTGACAGGAGCCGGCCCCTTCGTCGCCGCCTTCTGAGAGCCGGCCGCCTTCTGGCAGCCGGCCCGTCTGACCAGGCGGCCGGAAGCGTTGGTCTTTCGTCCGGGAGGTGCGAGGGGCGCAGTTAGCCCCGATGTCTTGAAATATCATGGGGGGCTGATGAGGCTACCCGTGTTCATTTACTCCAACAAATGGATATTCGTTTTTCTTGTGTTTATTTTATATTGTCATGCCATTGCCGTTTTACCTTGCATACTTAGTTGGAGGTTACACGAGATCAAATGACCGAGTGATCTCTTTGCGCCTTCCGATTTTCCTGTGCAAAATGGTGCTCCCTTTGTTTGGATTTATTTATAAGGCTCACATGTACTTTAGGATAAATATGATCATAATTAAATCATCAAAATATGATTTATACTTCTAAAAATATATATTATGGTAAACTTTGTGACTCAAAGCCCACCTCGAGGTGGCCTAGGCCCGCGACTTGAAGCCCACCATGTAAACTGGGGCACATCTCTACTTGAAGTACAATACGGAGCGGCTAACTTTGTCAAAAAAAAACCGAGAGTGACTAACTGGAGGGTACCCCTTCGCGGGGGCCTCAAGCGGTCCATGCGCTGACATGTGGTGCTCCTAGCCGCCACCACGTGTCCCGCTTGAGCGCATCCGCAGGGACACATTTTATATACTTCTACA